ATTTATAGTTATGTACTGTATTGACAATGACATCCCAATGTTTTTAATATAATGAAAACAGATTCCTTTGTAAATGCTTTGATAATTTACTTATCATATTTTTGGGAACAAATTCCGCAACATATTTATTCAAAAGTACACTTTGGGTTTCAAATAAAGCATAAACAAATTGTTCTTTTATGGTCGTGAAATTGGGGATGTCACATCTCGTAAGACGAGAAACTCGTGACAAAATTGAGTCCAGGGCTGAGAGTTATATTTTCATTTACTAACCACAAAATTCCTTTGGATATTTGTTCTACAGACCTAGTGTGAACGTGGTCTTTGTAGCTAGAAAACGAGTCTTTCATGAGAGATAACTCATATTCAAAGAGGACAGTGGGAGTGTTGGTGATATGGAATAAACTCTAGAGTCATCCAACGAAGGAACCTTAAACGACACCCGCACTCAACCAGAGGATGAGATACCTTTTGAGTTGATTGACAACTCATTACCTATTCGTCGTTCGAATGGAGTTAACATGCCACCTGAGTTATATGGGTTCCACATTAATACAAATGGGGATACGTTTATCAGCGATAACACGCTGATAAATTTGGATGAACCTATTAACTATAAGGAAGCGATGATAGAGCCCGAGGCTACAAAATGGAAATAGGTTATCGAAATTGAGTTCCAATCCATGTATGATAACCAAGTATGGAACTTGGTCGAAAGACATAAGGTTGCAAGTGGATCTTCAAGAAAAAGACCGACATTGACGGAAAGGTACACACATTCAAAGCTCGACTAGTTGTAAAGGGATTTACTTAAACCCAAGGGTTTGACTATGATAAGACCTTATCACCCATGGATAAGATCAAATTGATTAAGATAATGCTTGCCATTGTTACATTTTACGATTATGAGGTATGGAAAATGGATTCTAAAATTTCTCTTCAAAATGGGAAGTTAACTGAGGACGTCTACATAAGTCATCCAGATGGTTTTGTACATGCCAAATTTCCTGATAGAGTGTGTAAGCTTGAGAAATCCATTTGCGTATTTAAACAAGCATCTCGCGGCTGGAATCTTTGCTTCCACGAGATAGTCAACGAGTATGGAGTATGTAAGATTGAGTATGAGTCATGTGTGTATGCAAAAGCTAGTGGGAGTATAATAACTTCTCTAGTGTTGTATGTTGATGACATACTCATTGTAGGAAACGACATTCCGACCTTGCAAGAAGTGAAATCTTGGATTAAGAAATGTTTTGCTACGAAGGATCTAGAGGAAGCGACCTATATTCTTGGGATAAGAATTTTAAGGGATATAAAGAAACGTCTTATTGGACTTAGCTAAAGTACATACTTTGATAAAATACTGAAACATTTTAGTATGTAAAACTCCAAGAAAAGGAAATTACCTATTCATTGTATTGTTAAGTTGAGTAAGACTCAATCTCCTGGTTATGATGAAGATATAAGTGGAATGAGTTGAGTCACATACGCTTCGGCTATAGGATTGATCATGTATGTTATGACGTGTACTCGCCTTGATGTGGCTTATGCTTTGAGCATGGTTAGTCGATTTTAAGGGAAATCCTGCTAGAGTCCATCGGACTGCAGTCAATAATATTCTTAAGTATTTACAAATAACAAAAGAAAATTTTCTAACTCTTGGCGGAAATGACACGTTGAAAGTAAGTGGTTATAGTGATGCTAGCTTTCAAACAGACCGAGACAATTTTTGTTCCTAATCTGGCCGTGTATTATTGTTGAACGGTGGAGCGGTGACTTGGAAAGGAAAAGTTCCAAGCAGTAAATGGTGGTTTATCCCACTTGTGAATCATATTACGTTGCAATGAGTAAGGCATCAAAGGAAGCGCTCTGGCTGAAGAATTTCATCGTAGATCTCTGAGTAGTCTCGACCATTCAATAGCCAATGGAACTCTTATGTGATAATGTAGGCGTGATTGCTTTGACTAAATAACCAAAGGATCATGGGAGGTCCAAACATACTGACAGAAAGTAACATTACATCGGACATGTGGTTGAAGATGGGCATCCCCAGGTGAAACGAGTGTCATCAGAAGATAATCTTGCAAATCCTTTCATGAAGGCTCTAAATAGGGTCAAGCACATCCAACATAATAGGAACATTGGCTTTATAGATGATGTTAATCTTAGTAGTTAGTTGACAGATTAAAACTTTGTAACAAAACATATGTAATTGATTTTGGTGATTGAAAAAAAGATAACTATTTATGAGTATGGGTATTGCCTTCTTTAATTATTTATTCTTGTGTTTCATTTTGCATATTTTTACTTCCTGAGTAATTTTTGATTATTTGAAATTTCACATCCACTCATACTCTTGGAAGTAAATAATGAATTAAGCTTGTCATGAATCGATTGTAGATTGTCTATGGAGATTGGATATTGCATAAAGATTGTTGAAATATTCATGAGTACTTACAAAATAAAGATTTTGAGTATTGGATAAACCCACGCTTAGAGATTACTTCATGGAATCAATCACGAGTAATTATAATATAATAATATATTATATTATTCAAACGAAGATGCATGAGTTGTAATTTACAAGACAATTATGCATTAGCGTTGCGTAAACGCATCAATAACATGATGTTATAAAATGCAGTGTCATGTATAATTGTAACACCTCAAATTTTAAACCAAAATTTCCATTTTTAAATTACCAAAATATTGTTCATAAGCCAAGTCATCAAAAACATAAGTGTCAAATACAAGTCATCATAACAAAATATCAGAGTATCACAGACTGACCCAATACAAATCTCCTAACGAGTGTGTACAATCAGACCTTCGCCTTCCTGCGATCCTCAGAACTACCTGAAACACATATAACACAACATAAATAAACAACTATGGGTTATCAGCAACCCTAGGGACTATCAACAGTCCCAGTGGGCAACAACACGTCCTATGGGTTATTAGCAACCCTGGAGGCTATCCGCAGTCTTAGTCACACATAAACAACATAATAAAAAATAATAGTTAGACCTAACTGGTCATCACAAATACAACTATTTCAGAGCGGAGACATATTATGGAGTTCTAATTCTATTTCAGATCCCGAAAAGCGTGAAAATAACCCTTGGAAGGAGATCGGTTGGAGATTAAAGATTTGAATAATCGTAGCAAGAATTTACATTACACATTCGGTTTGCATTAGATTAAACATGTTTAGCTTGAATTCTTATGTGTTTTTGTGCTTATTTTCTGCCATGAGTAGCTAAAGCATTGAACATTCGTTTAGTGTAGATGAACCCTAATACTATGTGTTAGTTTCTTGCTTTTCATGGATTTTTATTAAGTTGGTTTTATCTTGTGTTTGATTATTATTACCTAACATGTTCAAGTTCTACTATTTGTTGCTTTAATTCAAGTTAAGTGTAATTGAATGACCATTTGAATTGCATGAACTCGTTTACCTAGCAGTTAGTGATCGTTAAATTGCTAGGGCTATGAGTAGCCAAGTCTTAGATAAAGTAATAAATGTAACAACTTTAACTGTGTTAGCGAACATAATTTGATCATAATTGTGTTTGATTATCTGTCTTGATTAGATATAATAATCTTACATATATCTTACATAGGTCAGCTATCTTTAATAATCACTTTTGTGTTTACTTGTGTATGAATGTTACATAGTAGTTCATGAATTGGTGAAAACATTAGAGATCGGATCAAGACTGCTAATTATATTTATATTGGTAACCAACTAAATAAATCCATGTTTAGAAACTAACCATAAGAAAAAAAGGGATTCAAAGCTAAACGAAAGTGATCATGATAGTAATCTTTCTTAGTTAAGTGTTTGATTAGTTTTTAGTTAACTGAATAGTTAAGTTAATCTAAACTTGCAAAATCAGATAAAACCTCTTTTTAGTTATTGTTTTTAGATTTAATTTTTAGTAGTTATTTTATTAGTTAAATTCCGTTTTCTATGATATACCAAACTTACTTTATTATACTATAAACTGACTAGGTACATTGTCTATATGTGCATTAGTAGATAAGTACTTAGATTTATAAATTTAAAAGTTGATAGGTACTTCTGCAAATATACATCAAGTTTTAACATGCTGCCAGAAGGGAATAAAAAGCAAGGATGAATGGTACTTATGACATATAGGTTCTTTATTCCAACAATGTCCAAATCCCATTTCATTTTCTGTGAAGTATTGTGCAAAATTAGGAAATAAAACAAATGATGTAAGAATCATAGCTGGTGGGGTGAGATTCGAGACTTAATTTACTTCTTCATTGTCTATTATTTTGGTCAACCTTGAAAAGCAAGAAAAGAAGAAACATCCTTAACCATTTTCGTATTGTGGTTGAGCGATGTGGGAAATAAGACTAGAAAGAAAATAAAGTAGACATAACTCACTTACTCGAAGAAGTATTACAAGTACGCAACACCATCAAGCAACTTTTGTTCCCCTTCCCAATCTAACACTTTCTTCAACGAACCATTAATCAAAGTCTAGCACACCAATAACCGACTCTAAATCGAAACCTAACAATCCCTCTAATTATTCATCTTCCCAGTTAGCATCTTATATTTCTCGAAAGATTTTAAGGGGTAACATGGGCTATCCCTAACTATAACATCTTATATTTCTTGAAAGATTTTAAAAGATAACAAAGACTATCTCTAGCTATAAACTGAGTCTGCCACTGCTCATATAATTTATAGCTTTCAGTCACATATCACCTCCTATCATTTTTTTTTTTTTTTGCAAAACATACAATAAACAAAGAAACTTATAAAGCAAAAGTAGAATAAAAAAAACTGTCACATACCACCTCCTATATCTAATTCTTTTTTTTGCAAAAAACACAATAAACAAAAAAAGTTATAAAGCAAAAATAGAATTAAAAAAAAAAAAAAAAAACTGAAAAAAGGTTTTTACAACACTTGGGTCGGATAAAACCCACATGCCTTTCACGACCCGATATATTGTAATCCAATCGACGGTAACTTAAAGTCTTAAACCCTAACCCTGGTCACTGACGAACCATCACCGGAGTAGCCTCTCCTCCAGCATCTACGCCATTGCAATCGACCATGCCGAATGCCGAAGGAGGTCCACCGGAGGTAACCCTGGAAACATCAATGGGTTCTTTCACCGTTGAGGTAAAGTATTCGACTACTCTCGAGCTTTTTCTCACTGTTACAAAACAACTTTGAACAAACTAATTGATGTCAAATTGATCAGATGTACGATAAGCACTCCCCCAAAACTTGCAAAAACTTCATTGAACTATCTCGAAGGGGTTACTACAACAACGTTAAATTCCACAGAATCATCAAGGTCTGTAACTCCAAAAATCCCCAAGTTTCAACACTTTTGTGTTTTCGTGTGTCGAGTAACGATAATAATCCATGGAAGTAAGTGCTAATTCTGGATAATTGTTTATATTTTTGTAACAGGATTTCATAATTCAAGGAGGTGATCCCACCGGCACAGGAAGGGGTGGAGAATCCATTTATGGGTACGTTTTCTCATCTCCAATTAAGCTTTCCTTTTACGATTTTTATGCTTCAATCTTACGAACTTGTTTGATTCGAGATTGTTGAAGCTAATCCATACTCTTGGAATCCGTAATCCCAATCAAATCTGTCGTTTGAAGTCTGAACACAAAAAAGTAGATATCAAAACTAGAATTCAAATTGAATTTCAACAATCTACTGACAAGTTGCGCTTATGTTTGAGAAATTTGACTCTTTTTTTTGACATGAGTTTGTTTCCATTGTTGAAGCTCAAAGTTTGAAGATGAGATCACTCCAAAGCTGAAGCATACTGGAGCTGGTATCATATCCATGGCTAATGCTGGTCCAAATACAAATGGGAGTCAGTTCTTCATCACCTTAGCACCAGCTCAATCACTTGATGGTAATTGTAGTTTTTCAAAAAGTGATTATTTTGATCAATTTGATCCATTTTAATATTAACACTTATCATAATTTTCAGGAAAACACACGATATTTGGAAGAGTATGTAGAGGAATGGAGATTGTGAAGAGACTTGGTAGTGTTCAGACTGATAATACTGATAGGTATATTGCTTTTTTATTCTATTTATTTGGAAAATGTATGATTGATTTTGATAAATTCTTGTCTTGTTATTATTATTATTATTATTTTTAATGTTTTGTTTTGTTTTAGGCCTGTTCATGATGTGAAAATACTACGAACAAGTGTTAAAGATTGATGGTTTTTGGCACCATAGATTTCTCAAAGCAAGGTGTTGCTATTATCCATAATCCCATATCAATGTAATCGAATTATATAGGGCTTCATATGTATGCAATTTAACATGAAAACATTAGTATCTTGTAATTTGAGATTGTAACAAAATTATGATTTACTCCTCCTTGTTCTAATTTGGTCAAGTTATTGACTTCTTGTGATTTGCATATAAAGATAGTGTTTTTTCATATGGTCAAAAAAGGTTGCCAAATGGTTAGGTTAAACCACAATCACAACAAACCTTCGTATCTTCTTCTTCGTTACTTTACTGGTTTTTTTTACTCTATTAAATAAAACCATTTCTGTCGCTGGTCATTCTCTCATGCATCATGTTAAATGTCATTTTGTGGTGATTTTAGATTAAATTATATCCATACTAGTTTATAACCCGTGGGAACCACGGTTACAAAATTATTAAACTTGTAAAAAATTCAATATTATTAATCATTTGTTTTGTATAAAATTTTAAATAAGTTATTAATTAAAAGATATTTTTATTAATTATGTAAAATTATAATCATTGATTCAAATAAATCCGTGGAGTTAATTTTCCATATATATATTAAACAAATATAATCACATTAATTAGAAGGTTTAATCAATTTAAAATAAAGAATTAATAGAATGATAAGTGACATCATATTAATTAGGAGATCTAATATTATGACACTTGTCAAAAGAACTACTATTTTTATTAGCATAAGATATGTCATTTATGTTTTTTTTTTCTACTTATTAAATTTCATATAATATTTAAATGAAAAAAATATAATAATAAATGCATATCAAAATTTTGTGGGTTTTTTTTTTTTTTTTTTTTTTTCATTTTACTATATTAAATTAATTATAATATTTACTTTAATAAATGAAGTTTTTTTTGTTACTTGTTACACTCTCATTCAATTTATCAAATCTCATTTTGTGGTTATTTTGAATTAGTTTTTTTGTCCACATGTCATTTTATGACTTTTTCTATTTTATTAAATTTCATAATATTTTAATGTAATAGTTGCAATAAATATACTAATAAATGAATATCAATTTTATTAATAAATTTATTTTTTTAATTTAAAAGATAAAAACATTTTCATTATAGTAATTCATTATATTTTTTTTCTTATAAACTCAAAGTTTTCAAATATTTTGACCTTTATACATGTCATTACGCATGTCATCCTTCTCCAGTTCCATTTAATTTTAATTGATATCTCTATAATACCTTTAATGAGGTAACTGAAAATTAAAAAAAAAAAAAAAAAAAAAAAAAAAAAAAAAAAGAAAGAAAACAAAATCACGTAAACAAAAAGAAGTAAAATCACGTAACCAGTTTCTTCCATATGGCTCCAACCCTATTCTCGTTTGATTATTCTCATTTGATTGTTCTCGTTCTTCTCTGTTGCACACATCGACATTGACATTGACAGCCATAGCCATCTTAAACAACAAGTAAGACAACATGTAATTTTTTCTTACATTCTCACTGCCCCGCTGGTATGATTATTTTCTTTATTGTTAATACAATTTTTGTTTTATTGTTGAAACAGTCTCTGGTTTGATTAGTTGGTTTGTTGTTAATAAAATATTTGTTTTATTGTTGATATAGTCATTGATCAGTATGGAGGACGCAAATTTAGGTGAAGGGGATACAATTCTCAATCCTCAAGATCAAAACATTCCTAAAGTTGGAATGATGTTTGATTCAGAAAACGAACTTGAAGATTACTTTAGAAAATACACATACCAGATTGGATTTGGTGTACGAAAAGTTAGTACAAGAATAAAAAAATGTATTGCCACAACATACTACTCACTTGGATGTTCCAGAGGAGGTGTATATGAGCCTAAGACAAACAAACCATATCTAAAGTCTTCTAAAACAAATTGTCAAACAAATATTTGTGTAATTGCATATGGTGATGGAAGATGTACTGTCTCTCATGTTTTTCTTGAACATAACCATGCTTTACGTCCCAAAAAATCTAGTTTTCATCGATCACATAAGAAAATGGATTCATATGCCAAGAGAAGACTTGAGTTGAATAATTATGCTGGAATTCCATTAAACAAAAGTTTTCATTTGTTAGTTGTTGAAGAGAAAGGGTATGACAATTTGCCTTTTGGCGAGACAGATTGTAGATCTTACATTGCAAAAGTAAGACAACTAAGACTTGGGCAAGGGGATGTTGAGGCAATTCGTAATTATTTTGCCCGTATGCAAAAAAGAAGTTCAAAATTTTTCTACGTGATTGACATGGATGATGAAGGTCGTATGCAAAATGTATTTTGGGCAGATTCAAGGTCTAGGGTAGCTTACGAGTCATTCGGAGATGTTATTTCATTTGACAACACATATTTGACGAACAAATATAATATGCCGTTTGCACCTTTTGTTGGAGTAAATCACCATGAACAATCTATTTTATTTGGATGTGGTTTGCTTTCTCGAGAGGATACAGAAACATATGTATGGTTATTCAAGTCATGGTTAGAATGCATGAATGGAAGGGCACCAAAAGCAATAATTACAGATCAATGTCGATCAATGCAAGGAGCTGTGGCACAGGTATTCCCCGAATCTCATCATCGTCTTTGTCTTTGGCATATTATGAAAAAGATTTTTGAAAAATTAAGTAGATTGGATCAATATAAAGTAATAAAGAAGACTCTAAAAACCCTTGTGCGAACACTCAAGAGTTTGAAGATGGGTGGTGCAAGCTGGTTGAAAATATGGACTTGAAAAAAATGAGTGGTTATGTTCTTTATTTCTTTATTAAACGATCGAAATCATTGGGAAATCATTGGGTGCTGATATATGTAAAAGTAAACTTTTGCGTAGGGATGTCTACTACACAACGAAGTGAAAGCATAATTGCTTTTTTTGATCCGTATGTTAATTCTAAAACATCATTACGATAATTTGTTGAGCAATATGACAATGCGCTAAAAAGCAAGATTGAGAAAGAAAATAAGGCTGATTTTGAGTCTCTTAATTCTTCATATAAGTTAGTAACTGGGTTTTATTTTGAGAGGCAGTTTCAGGAGGCGTACACAAATGCAATTTTTAAGTTGTTTCAAGATGAGTTACGAGGTATGTTGTTTTGCAATTCTTTATTGGTCAAAGTGGATGGTGCACAATATGTATTTCATGTCATAAATGTTATCGAAGGGAAACATGGAGATTTAAAAAAAAAAAGAGTTGTTTATATTGTTAGGAATGATGCAATCGCATTTGATATACAATGTTCTTGTCATTTGTTTGAGTTTCGCGGAATTATTTGTAGGCATATGGTGAAGATATTGATTGAGAAGGATGTTAAAGAAATTCATCCACGATATATTTTGTCTTGGTGGATGAAGCATGGACACTACTCGGTAATAAATTGTTATGAAGATTTGATGAGTGGTGAAAATGCTAAACAGTTTGACCACTTGTGTTCCAATTTTTATGAGGTTGCGCATATTGCTAATTCTCACGAAAAATATGAATACTTGCTAAGTTGTATAAATATGGCTAAAGAAAAGTTAAAAGATGATTCATTTTGGGGTTGTAGTAGTAATATAAATTTGATAGTTGAAGATGTTCGTGTTCCAGACTTGACTAAAAAATTGTTACCGCCCTTGCAAGTACGTAGTAAAGGCCGTCCACCATCCAAGAGAAAAGAATCTACAGTAGAACGGGTTATGAAGAAGAATAGAAAGAAAAATGTAATATTTTATCTATTTATATATTTTTTTGTTTAATGTAGTTTTTAATAACTGTGTTTATTTATGTACTTGAAAAAACGGATAACATACAACAAGATCCAACGGGTTTGAGTCGTGAGCATGGAGCAATTTCTTATAATGATGAGCCGAACTACCAATTTGATCTTAATGTACCGTTTTGAACAAGAAAGACCGATGAATATGTGGAAAAGACTGATTTTCAGTTTTAGTTATTTTTAGATTAATTATTTTGAAAGAACCGATTGACATTATGAAATTATAAAGAATTGGATTTCTTGGTTTCAAAATAAAGGGCACATTGGTCATTTTTGGAATATTTATGATTTTATTTCTTTGAGGTTCAAAAGATGTCGCAATGTGTATTTTTCTTAAGTTTCCTATGATGCATACCAATAGAGTTTTACATGATACATACAAATGAAACCAAAAATAGCAATGCACTTTAAAAATTAAATCAAGAATAACAATGCACTTTCAAAATAAAAAGTGGGACAAATTACAAAAACAGAGTTACAAATAGAGGGGCATTTATGTCTAAAATATTTAACAAAATGGAACCTTTGGCCATTTTTGTCCCCTTTTACAAAATACAATACATGAGCATTTGTGTCCAAATGAGAAATGAAACTAATGGACATTTTAATATTATCATCTAGAAGAAAGAATAGATACATGGAACTTCGTTTGACACAAAAACACTTTCTAGATCAAGTATATGACCTTGTTAACCATGGTGACAACAACTTCCAAGATATCCCATTTGAAAGGTCAAAACACAACACATTGATACTTAACAGGAAAAGTAACAAAACCAATGTTATCTCTAAGAAAAAATAGATACATAGTTTAATACAATAATTGATATTAAACCCAAATGGTGTGTTGTTTCTACCTAATGACATGTCCATTTTCTCTTTGGTCAATGTTATTACAGCGGTTATATGTGGTTTTGTAGCCATCTGCACAAGTTCCTCCAAACATTTAAGCTTGATAAAGTGAGACAAAAAAATTATGTGATATACACATCCCATGAATATTTTACAAATAGTTAAAAGTGATAAATTGTAGTGATAAATGCAAAAATTAAATTGTAATCTCAGTTTAACTAAAATATTTCCTAAAAATATTTTTATAATCGTTAAAAGGTTTCAAATATGTACCTTAAAATAACATAAAATAATAATGTTAAAAATAACTCTATATAAATGATTATATTGTTACCTTTAAAATCAAAAAACAATGTTTGATGTTTTAAATAATTATAATGATAGAATTTAAAACATTAAGCAAATAAATTTTAAAAAATTAATGAATAATAACAACAACTATAAATAACATTAAACCATATATTATATTTAATTTTATTCATATGTAACTTGCGGATAGAAGTCAATCAAACAATTGAGATTATGCAGTTATAATAGATGTATATATTATCATATAATTCAAAATAATCAATATATTATATCAATTTAATATACAAATTATTATATCAAATTTAACAATAATTTT